TGGGATAATGCACTGGACCACAAGGTCAGTTTGAACTGCAAGACCAATGCAAGGCCAACTGCAAGGTTCAAATCCACCTGCTGTTCCTCAGAAACCCTATATAGTGTTGCTATAAGTCAGAACCAACTCAACAGCACTTAACAACAACATAGTTAAAACCATGGGTGACCCTAATTGGCTACTACAAAAATAAGCAAGTTGTTTGCTGCAAGCCATCAAGGCAAGCATTCAAGTCCCTTCGGAACAAACCCCTCTTTAAGATTCAAACTCAAAGGAAACACACGAGCAGGCATGTAAGCTTACTGGCAAAGACCTTGGTCTACTGGTGAGTGGAAGAGGGGGAAAGGCAGCAATGAAAAAATGGGCTGAGTTCAACCACATTCCATAGAATCCTGTCATCCTTAAGATGAGAGAGAGAAGAGGAAGGGCTGGTTGGTCCAAAGTGTGGTGAAACTTGGGGACTCCTGAGCCCCTGGACAAGGACATAGTCATGGAGGGCTAGAGCTGAAAGCAAAGTGTCCACCTGATATGAAGTGAGGAGAAATGCCAAGAACCCCCAAACTTGCAGTACCCATTTGAGTTTGATGGCTTGATGATCAGAACTCGAATATAGGAAGATTTTAAAACAATGATTTGATAAAGGAAGCAAGTGTAAAGTGCTACAATTTGATGACCTTGACCTATACTTATGGATGTAGTAGCTCAAAGCACAAACTGAGAGGGAAGGAGTCTTTACTTCAAGGATTATTCCTATCCCTTCTGTACATAGAGTTGATAAGGACAGGCAGTTTAGACATTGATTACCTAAAGGGGGTGGAGGGGGAACCTATAAAGGCACAAAGTGACAGGCTTACAAGTTTTCAAAAGGGAGTTTGGCTTAAGAGTGTGCGGGGGAAGCTAGAGTCCCCACTGAATAGTTCTCATCTTGTCTAAATGGGTCTGGTAAAAAGAGATGGGGATAAGATTCTTATGATTCAATAGTGAGTACTTGTTATCATGACTAATTGCGACTGTCACAATTATAAAAGTAGAAGTTTAGTAACAAAAATGGGGGATTAATTAATCTTACAGTCCAGAAACAGAGGACCCTAGGACCATCAAGGGAGAAGAGCACAACTGGAATGTGGGTTCCTATTCAGAGAAGCAGTGACACCAGAGATGGAGGCAGAAATGGGATGGAGAGAGGGAGCGGCTTAGGACTCTTAGATTCATGGAAAGAGAAAGACTTGAGTGCTGGTGGCCAAGAGGCAGACTTGCAGAATGTGCCCTTTGGTGGTTTAAATTATTATATATGAATGAATGTTTAAAAAAACACACACATACACAAAACAAAGCAAAACAAAACAAAAAGAGCTAAAATGAATAGAGAGAAATACTGTTAACTGATGGTACATGGAGGGGATTATAATGATTGTACAATGAAACAAAGCATGTGATTTGTTGAATGTAAAACTAATCATCTGCCCTGTAAATGTTCACTCAAATCACAATAAAAACTTAAAAAAAAAAAAAAGTGTGTGGGGAAGGTAGAATCCCCACTGAATAGTTTTCATCTTGTCTAAATGGGTCTGATGAAAGGAGATGGGGATAAAGATTCTTATGACTCAATAGGGAGTAATTATTATCATGATGAACTGTGATTGTCACAACTGTAAAGGTAGAAGCTTTGTAACATAAAGGGGAGAGTAGTCAATCTTACATTCCATCAAGGGAGACGAAGACCATCAAGGGAGACGAGCATGAGCCAAATGTGGGACCCTATCCAGAGAAGTAGCAACTCCGGAGATTGAGGCAGAGATGATGATATGGAGAGAGAGAGCAGCTGAGGGCTATGTTTCAGGAAAGAAGAAGGCTCTGTGCTGGTGGCCAGGAGGCAGGCTTGAAGAATGTGCCCTTTGGTTGTTTAAATGAATATATATTCCTGAGTGTTTTTGTGTACATCAAAAAACAAAAACAAAACTGCAGAAGGAATAGAAGTAAATACTGTTGAATGTTTAATGCATCAAATCTGTTATTCAGATGATCTCTAAATTCAGGAGGGATAAATTCAAGGTCATATTTTGGCTCTCGTGGACTTGCTTTCATTTTCTTCAGTTTCAGTTTGAATTTGCATATCAGTAATTGATGGTCTGTTCCACAGTCTGCCCCTGGCCTTGTCTTCACTGAT